AAACAAGCAAACCAAATTTTAACAAGCTAATTCAGAGAATTCGTGTCCCCCGCTTAGGGAAAAAGTCGGCTCCCCCTGACTAAATTTGTAGAATTATTAAATGTACACTGAAGGAAATAAAATACATGTATGTCAATATGCATATAAAGATTTGATTGCTTATTCTTTATTATGTGTATAGAAGATTTTTTTATATGGAATATTTATCACACTGTAATGATGATTTTATAACCTCATAAATTTTTCATTTCACATGCTGAATACTATCATTTAGTAAAAAAAAAAAAAGTATTTAAAATAAAAAGAAAGGTTCGACCGAGATTCGATCCCGGGACCTCTCACACTTGAAGCGAGAGACATAACCACTAGACCAGAGAGTCGCTTTAAACGAAGTGAAGTATATGCAGAACTGAAGTCACATACATGTATATATTCATGTTTTCATGTTCGGTATTCTAAAAATTTTACACAATCCATGGTGTTTGATTTATTTAGCCTTTATTAAACAGTTATATATAATAGATGTAATAAGAACATAAAGTCCGCCGAGAACCTGTTTTATACGCAATAACTCTCCTCATGCCCCTGCGCTAAAAATAGCGACATGTAATACTATAAATACTAATAAAACAAACGGGGCGGGGCACTTTGAGAGGGGCGAGAGACGTCCTAGGGAGTTTTGGTATAAAATTACATTGCATAAGCTCAAAATCTTCTTGAAATTTCGCCCGGAAATGATAGTGTTACACACAGACAGAATGTATAAATTTACGACCTTGAACTTTGACCTTTTGACCTCAAAATCAATAGGGGTCTTCTTTAGGCCACCGGGAGTTGTTATGTAAAATTTCATTGCGATAGCTCAAATGGTTCTAGAGATATCGTGTGGAAACGAAAGTGTTTTAACAGACAGAGTTTGCTTATTTATGACCTTGACCTTTGACCTTTTGACCTCAAAATCAATAGGGGTCTTCTTTAGTCCATAGGGAGTTGCTATGCTAAATTTCATTGCAAAAGCTCAAAGGGTTCTCGAGATATCGTGTGGAAACGAAAGCGTTACAGACAGACAGAAAGACGGACGGACGGACGGACGGACAGACGGACGGACGGACGGACGGACGGACGGACAAACCCAAATTAATATCCCCCACTTTTCAAGCGGGGGACAAAAAATGATTTGGGGGGGATAAAACAATGAATGAATAGTGCAGCTTGTAAAACTTAATGACGTTTAATCATAAATGAATTTATTGAGAGTATAGATGTTGAATAAACCGACATAAACCAGGTTATACTTGAATAATTTGGCCAAGATTTTCAATTAAATTTAAAATCATTTATCAACAGTGGTTGCAAAATGTTTGCCAAATACTACCCCCGGGATTCAGGATTTGAACAAACTTGAAACTAAACTAACAGAGGATACTTTATTAAGACTTGTTTTAAAAGGTTTGCAAAATAAACCATACCCATTTTTCAAAAAGAAATCATAGTTGGAAACCAGTATACATGCATATATAGATATTTCTTCGAAATTTCTAATTATGCTTGTTCAAAATGGGTTTTAAATTGTTAAATGCATGTAACTTGATGGATCTACATGTATTAGGATATGTAATTTAATTTATCTATGAACATTCTTAATGGGATCCATATAATTGATATGATGAACAATCAATTTATATCTTACCTAACCAATATTCTCCCTCCACATTACCGAATCCTTCTTTGTACGAATCCCAGGATCTATTAAAATCTACTGATCCGTCCATCCTCTTATTAATAACCTACATGTATAATGAAAAGTATTTTATCAGCAAATACAAAAATCATGGAAAGGGGGGGGGGGTCAAAAATCTACAGAGAAAAGAGATTCTTAGTCAAAGTCGATATTACAATTTTAACTATACAAAATACAGGAAACATACATTTGTATCTTCCCCAAAAGAAAAATATAATTTACTTCAAATAAATGAATTATAACAATTTAGTTGAACGTCTAGCCAATATATATATATATAAACATAAAATAGAAAATCATGAAATTTCTTACCGTCCAGCCCCCTCCCTCGCTAGTCATGTCACAGTACACCAGTTTCTGTGTCTTCATATCCGGGTATATAGAGTAGACGCCATCTTTCCCTTTTGTGTTGGGTATGAATTTTAGAATTAATGCACAGTCTCTTTGCTTTCGGAGCCCTGTTTTCGAAGATTAAATATTACATATACAGTTACTCTTTAATTTTTTTTAAAAAAATATTTAAATCCTACAAAGAGTAAATATAAGTTGCTTTTAAAAATATATTGGCAACATTTATTAAATTTTATTTTTAAGGAACGCAGATATATTTTTAAATTAAAAATGACTGATACATGTACTTCTCACATTTTTTTTTTTGGGGGGGGGGGGGGTATTTAAAAAAAAACCACATAGGTACTTACTCTGGTACATGTACTTGTTGAAGTGTTTCCCCGTAAGTCTATAGCGAGACAGAAGAGAAATGTCCACAGAGACCGGGGTGTCCACTTTGACGGATGTGTTCAGGTGTTTCCAGTTCCAGGGAGTTAACTGCAGTAGAGACTCAACATTTCCTGATAAACAAAGCATTGATATATATTATTATCTATGTAGAAAGTATTATTTTCTATATAGAAAGAATTATTTTTACACATTTATAAATTTTGAATTTTTAATTATATATTTTTTTAATAACAAAAAAATTTACAACTTCAAAATACCTTGTAGATGGGAATGCAGAGTTATACAACGTGTGGTTAAAAAGTGCAGAAAGAAACACAGTACCACAAAATTTTTTTTGATTAGAACCATATTTTCTTCTGTTCCTGCATGCACATGTACGATAAATAAGGAGAGTATCTCCTTATATATTATAATTAAAATGTAACAGGATATTTTGTCAACATATGTGTCGATGATTTTATGTTTAAGATATAAATAAAGGTAAAAGGCGGAGCCAATGTTTTGATAGTCGATGCCCAAGTAAGGAAAAGCACTTAGCCAGAAGAACTCTGACCCACTCTACCCAACCTCTTTAGATCCGCCCATGACAGTTTCGGATAAAGCTCTACGCACTTTTTAAGTTCCCATGGTTTTTCGTACAAATTAAGGACACATTCTGTAATAAAACTTAACGTTATTGAAATACAGTAAGATTACAAACTTCTAGTATGTATTGTAATGTATATTATTATCTCTTATCAAAACTACACGCCCTAAGATTAATTTTTTTAGGTTGCTTTTAAGGGGATTTAATCAATACATGCCATGGTATGATGTACATTTGAATGATTTCATAATAGGTTTTTAAAGTGAAATTTATCGAGCATTGATACTGTTTAGTTAAAATTTTCTAATGACTTCTTTAAGATGATAATTTTTGTACTTTGCATGTTTAACATGCACATCTTGGTTTTAACGAAATGTTGGACCAAAAAGGACAATGCTGCGTAAAGAATCCATGCCAAAAGAGAGAAAAAAGTCGCTTATCTTTGTAAAATAGTAAATCTATAGAAATTAAAAATATTTTCATTTACGGTTTGAAACTTTTAAATTTGGCAGTGGAAGGTATCTTTCATAATGTTTGATTTCAATAAGTAAAAAATTACAGCTTTTTATATGACCCACACTCCACGAAACACCCAACACTCACTATCTCAGCCAGTAAACAGAATGAGTACTACTGTAAATCACATTTTATTCTCGAGAACTTTATTTTCGCGTAATTACGCGAGACGGTGAGCACGCGAAAATTTCATTCTTGCGTATAATAGTTTTCCTCAAGATTATATAGAAAAATATTAATAATTCGTGAAAATTATGTGTCGCTTATAAAAAGTCAATGACCATCTCGTGAAAATAAGGTGACATGAAAATACAGTGATCTACAGTAATCACGACGAGTGCTTTACGAGGCACACTATTTAAATTAACTTGGTATTTATTTCATTGTATAGAACAATTGAAAACACTTAATGCATTTTAAAGTCATGTAAATGTACAGAAAATACAGAAGCTTATTAGATGCAATGTTTCTGTGCCTAGGCAAGGCATAGGACTGCTTTCAAAAGAAAAGATAGAAGAAAGACAGCTGTATTTGACTTGACACTAAGTAAAAACCAAATGAGAACTGTCATAATCTATCAGAAAAGAGCATATCAAAAATCCTACCGATTATTATACGTGGATTATATTTTAAATTAGTGAAATAGAATTAAAATTAAGTTATAAATCACTTATAAAATATATTTTGCTACCTCGTTACACAATTTGGCATTGTAACAATCTGATGTTAATTTGTGCTAAAAACTATATGAGTTTTGATTCAAAATTTAGTTTCTTATATTCATATCTTTCATATCGTATTCCAGTAGGCTTGAAATTAAAGATACCACTGAGTCTTACACATCTGTTCCACATCTAGATATTTAACTAGAAAAAGAGGTTTATGTTAATCTGGTGACCAAGCTTCGTGATAAACGTAATAAATTTACTTTTTTCAATCGAAAATTTCTCTTATTTATGCAGCAATATACCTTCATCAACTGAATACGGGGTTAATATCTCCCAGTTGATTCGATACACAATCTGGAGCATGCTCTGCGTAAGAACAATTTCTAGAACGAAGCAAGTTATTGACAGATAAATTGATGAAACAAGATTATCAACAGTCTCGTTCAAAATTATCAATTCGTAAGTTCTATGGTCGATACAATGACCTAGACAGCAAATACAATCCATTATTAAGTCTCATGCTGACAAACGTTTTTCATACTAATTGTTGTAAAATTTTACATTAATTACATAACATTGAGTGGGGGTTCAATCATGATAAGAAAAAAACCAAGATAAAACACCGCTGGATGGGAATAAATTAATAACAGACTAATTATAGCAAGATTCAGTTCCCTAGGCAATGTTATGTACCGACAAATCGTGCCGAAGAAAAGTGAAAGATGAATTTTATTAACACCTACAGGTATCTGTCTTTTAAGTCCTCGCCATGACATGCTAATGATCATGGGAGACCTGAATGCGAAAGTGAGTACTGACAACACTGACTGTGAGAAATCTAAGGGTAAACATGGCCGTGGAAGTAGGAATGAGAATGGAGAGCGCTTAATTGAATTCTGTTTCAACAACATCCCAACGATAGGATCAAAAGATCCAGGTAGTACCGGTATATTGTTTTTGTCCTGTCTATTTTCTGTCTATTTGTCTGTTTTTCTGTCTGTTGTCAAATTAAAACCTGGCCAATAAATATTGAGTGGATGGGGCTATGCCTTTCATATTTCACTGGAGACCTTTATTTGGGTACCACCAAATTTGATCTCTTGACCTTGACCTTGGAGTTTTACCTACTTTTACCTACTAATTTTTTTTTCAATTTATAGTTTCTTATATAAAACAGAGTGATTGTAAAACAAAATTTTTACTTTTATGAGAATACAAACACACTTACTTACACTATCCGAATCCATCGTTGTAATGTTGTTTTTTGTATTTTAAAATTTGTCGTATTATTTAATTGAAATTCTAGTTTAATATTTAATTGGTAAGGGCCCTTCTTTCAGTGTGTGTCATTTCTAAATTGATGAATAACATAAAACTTGGCGTGCTTTAACTTTGGTTGGACTTTTTTATGCTATGTGTCTTACTTGTGATATAATTTTCATTTCGGACTTAACATTCTATGTATAGAATATTCTTGGTTATGCATCTTATGCCATCCATGGTTCCAAACGTCATTACGTTTATATAAAAGCCCCAGATAAATGTCAAAATATCGATTTAACTTAAACAAATGTACACTTCACAAAAAGGAAACATGTTTCATATTTTTTTATTGATACTTTAAAACCACAATAATTTTTTTTTTATTTTTTTGGTCTGATCATCATTTTTGCAGACTTCAAAGATATAGCTGCTTTTCCTCTACCAAAGTGCTCCCAATTAACACTTCCATTTGTTTTGACAGCAGATTTATGGTATTGTCCATTCAGATCACACTCATCGCAAGCTCCGTACCACCAACTTGATTTTCTACTGACAGCACAGGAATTCTTCCACGAGTCGTTATCAGCATCCTTCGTGGAAAACGGCCTTCCATTATGATAAGCTAAACTATTTCCTAAAATATATAATTATTATTTTTTGTATATTGTTTTGTTCCCATTTTTGTCATATCCAGACAAACTATGTTTAATATTAACACTACCTTAGGGTTATTCTATGTCAATATTACTACATACGGCTTTGCTTAGAACGAAGTATTTACGGATTTATCCATACATGTATATCATCCCCATTGTGGCTCCTTCCTGCCCTCCGAGGTCATGATTTGAATAACCTTAATTAATTCTATACTACATATACCTGAGGATACGTCCATATCAATATGACTAATCATGGCTTTGCTGTTCTTGAAAGTACGATTTTTAAAGATATTTTTCTATTGTATACATTTTATACCAGACTTTGATCCTCAGGTCTTGCCCCAACCATTATCTAAGGGTTCAGGATTTGAAAAAATTTGAACAAATTTGAATTTGAATTTTCAGACGATACTTTCATATTAATATGACTAATCATGGCTTTGTTGTTCTTGAGGAGATTTTCAAGGAATTATTAAGAGCTGTTTTCTGATTGATTGATTGATTGATTGTATATTGTTTTACGTCCCTCTCGAGATTGTTTCACTCATATTTTGTCCTATACTCGGCTGTGAGAGACACTGAGCAGAGAGGAATATTTTTCGTGCCAGCAACTACTGAGACACGGGGCCTCGGTTTATACTGTCTCATCCGAAGGAACGGTCTCCATGTTCCACAGTGGGATTCGAACCCGCGACGTAAGGATCGACTCCTTGCTTTGCAACTCTTGAGCAGACGCTCTTACCACTGAGCCACGCGGGCGACAGGAGCTGTTAGCTGTTTTAAGACATTTTGCAAAATAATCAAAACACATTACCTACAATATTTATCTAAGTTTATGTCATATCTGCTTAAATTTTCTTCTAATGTGCTGGTTCAACATTGTATTTAAATGGGAAAAATTATGGTAAAAAGGTTCTATTAGGAAACAAAATCAAATTTAGCTCAACTTTAGTTTTTGGGATATCCATTTCATTCATTTGATGAATAATCAATTTATCTCTTACCTATCCAATACTCTCCATCCACATTTCCAAATCCCTTTTTGTATGAATTCCAGGATCTATAAAATTCTACTGATCCGTCCATCCTCTTATTAATAACCTGCATGTATAATGAAAAAGTATTTAATCAAGCATATACTAAAATCATGAAGGAGGAAACAAAAAAAAACTATGTACAAAAAGATCTTAATTCAAAGTTGATATTACAATTGTAATTATGAAAATACAGGAAACATATCTTTCCAAATGAAAATATAATATACTTAGAATAAATGAATTATACAAATTTAATAGCCAAATTATATGTATACAGGGTTCTCCATGAGCTGTTTTACTGTGTTGCTCCCGACACAGTATAATTTTCTCCGATACAGTAACGATTCAAATTTTATGCATGCAACACAGTAAAAAGTTTGCCGACACAGTAAGATCTGTGATAATTAGAACATCTAAACAAACAAATTCTCTCTAATTGAGAATTTGATTAAACAATTATATCGTACTTCAATTATGGGTTAATTGCTAGTTGCATAAAAATACATTGTATTATTTTTTAAAAAAATATTTAAATATGTCTTTTCTATAGAGCCATGGCTCTAGAATTATTTTAGCACTGTAAGTCTGACATAACATCGTATATCAAAGTCATTGCTTAAAATTTTTAACATATTCAAGGAACTCTTAAATAATTTACTGTTCTGAAGTTTCAATTTCTTTTTGTAATTGATAACTCAATCAAGAAAACTGATAAATAATCAGGGAAAATTTACATTTAAAAAAGTTAAGCAGTACGACTGTATCGAATTTCCTCTGCTTTTCAAATTGTAATTTTTATTTTTATCAATATGTACGACCATACCATTTGTGTAACTAATTAGCGATTTTTAAATAAGTGTGTGCATGTATTCTTTTGTAATTTTCATAAATAGTGATTTAGTTGCGAATTTGATCGCGAAAATACCGCGAAATTTTAGTTCTTCGCGTTAACTCTGCAACACAGTAACGTTTCAAATGATGGAGAACCCTGTGCATATATACACATAAAATATAAAAAACAAGAAACTCCTTACCGTCCAACCCCCTCCCTCTGTAGTCATGTCACAGTACACCAGTTTCCTTGTCTTTATGTCAGGGTATATAGTGTAGACGCCATCTTTCCCTTTTGTGTTTGGTATGAATTTTAAAATTGATGCACAGTCCCGTTCTATTTCGGAGATTTAAAATGCACAGTTACTCTTCAATTGTTTTTAATCATATATTTGTTATTAATCTTACAAAAACTATGTTCCTTTTTGAAATATATCGGCATCATGATTTAAAAGGAATGTATACTTACTCTTATACTTATTGAATTCGAATTTATTTCCTGTAAGTCTGTAGTGGGACAAAAGAGAAATGTCCAGAGAGACCGGGGTGTCCACTTTTACGGATGTGTTCAAGTGTTTCCAGTTCCAGGGAGTTAACTTCAGTAGATACTCTATATCACCTAAAAATAATATTAATAACAATCAAGAAAATACAGTGATATTGAAAAAGTATCCTTCAATACGTGTTAGCTGATTTTTAATTTCAAACAAAACATCCCCAAAAAAAACTTTCAATAGTTTATATTAATTGATATTTAAATTTCAATAAAATGACGATATTTAAAAAAAATACCTTTTAGATGGGTATGGGATGCCATACAACCAATTGTAAAGCACAAAAAGAAAAAGCACACATAGAAAATACTCTGAAAGAGAGCCATGTTTCTTGTGAAATCACTGCTACATAGTATTATATATACTTTATTTTGTCACAATTAAAATGTAATTCGATATTTTGTTTATCTCTATAGTTTCGTGACAATTTGAGTCGATAGTTGCATGTTACATTTATATAGATAGATAAGGGTGATGCCTTATTTTTGACAGCCAGTGCTCTATTGAAGAAACTCGCATGAAATCCTCCCCCAATACTCAACGAATAATTGTACATTTCATTTAATATACATTTACTGATTTTAATTTTAAATGTACATTTTATTTTTTATATATTACTGGTTTCAATGTAACGGAAATAGTTCAACTTTCCTGATTTGAGATGAATTCGTTTTGTCCCATTTGTGTCTACATTTTTATTGATTCCTTTACATTCTAAATCAGGATATGATTTCTTTTAAAATATGTTTTAAGCAGATTAATATATTGTCGATTTCTAGGTATAAGCAGTTCTTTAAATCGTTATTAAGAATTTTTGCAATGAATCGACAACATTTTTCATTTTCGCGTGTTTATTGAAAATAAAGAATGGGCATGCTCATGCATGAAACAGAATAATTAAAACTTACAACAAAGTTTACCCTTGGATCCAAAGAATAATATCGTAATGAAAGACTTTAAAAGGCTTTCACTTAGGGAGTTTTCAATAAAAGAAAACTGTTCCTAAAATTTTCAAAAGTTTTAAATGTATTTTTTCTTTTTTCCTAACACCAGTCTTGTAAAAATTGATGTATAAAATACCAAATCTCTTTAAAAGCAGAATGAATCCCTGTATAATTGTAAAAAAAAAATTATATATCCATACATATGACAAATTACATGCATTTTTAGACAGATTTTAGCAATAGGGCATAGAAAAACTTTCAAAAAAGTATTATAGAAAGTATATATTGCATTATACCGTGAACAATCAAACATTTAGCCTTAAATGTAAATTATACATTGATACTTATGGTATTTATGTACACGTATATAAAGGAATTCATGTAATTTAAATGCGTATAAAATTGGGTATTTTTATTAATCACCATTTTGTGTGAATTCATGGGTCCCGAGGGGATTTTCCGGGCTTTATATTTAAGCAGCCTCTAGTTACGGCTATTAGCCTTATCCTTATAAAAATAACTTTGGACTCCAAAATGTGGTTTACAAATTTTACCCACCTCCACCCCTTCAATCCTCCATAACTATTGTTATTGTAGAAAATACATGTACTAGTTTCTTTTTCTATAAGGTGCCTATTGTTATTGCATAACTATTGTTGTCAGGGATGGGGTAATCGTATTTAGTAATCGTAATCAGCTGTAATCGATTACAATTTGCCAAGTAATCATGAGTAATCAGTAATCACCCATTTTTCTGATTACAAGTAATCGTAATTTAATCGATAACTCTGAAAAAATCCTGTAATCATGATTACTTTTTGATTACTTTATGATTACAATTATTAAAACATCATTCATGAAATAATGATTTTGATGATATTCAGTGAGCAAAAGTTATTACATGTATAAAAATTATAAGCTATTTATTGTTAGATGTCTTCTTCTAATGCTTAAATCAGGTCCATTGTCCAGACAATGAGTAAATTCTATCAGTTCCTAGCTATATTCATTAGTAATTTCAAAATGCTTTAGCAGCAGAGCAATTCGCCATATGGACTTGAAAAATATTATCAAACTGGAAGAAAATTACTACAGGATCATTTTAAAGTTTGATTTTTTTGGTTTCCATCAATTAACATGTGTCAAATGCAACATTTTGTTTTCCCTATAAAAATATTTTTGAATAGACATGTTTTTTTAAATATCAGATATTCCTTTATTGAGATGTGTATTCTAAAATCACTTTGTTTGATTTTCTGTATACATAAAAAGATATGTGAATTAATTAGTAATAAAACACTGATATACTAAAGTTGGCTCAGCTTGGGTTATGAACTATCCATGCTATCCCAGTCAATGTGTTAATTCTTGTAAAAACATCTAGTAATTGGCAGCTTAATTGAAAAGATCATCACTCATCAAGAAGGTCAATTACTTGTGTAACAGTTCTTTATCGAATCCCTTTAACTATAATTATGTCCAGTTTGATAAATAAATTCATTTTATTTCTATCTCAACAATAACACAGATATTTACTTGTATTAAAGATAGAAAACATGAACTTGATAAATCTTATGCATCTATATTACATGTAAGAAATGTACCACCAAACTTTTCTGGATTCTACCTTATGTATACCTGAAATATGAATGATACTTAAAAAGAGAAGACTGAATAAAAAACATTCTGTTGTTCTTGAACATTAAACAAAAGGAAAACTTAATGTAATCTAAAGTAATCATGATTACGTGAAGGAAAAGTAATCAGATGTAATTGATTACTTTAAAAAAAATGTCTGTAATCAGCTTGTAATCGATTACTTTTAAAATCCAAAGTAATTGTAATTTAATCGATTACTTTTGAAAGTAATCGACCCCATCCCTGATTGTTATTGTAGAAAATAGATGTACCCTGTAATCTCATTTGGCATTTGTAATAAATGCTCTATACACACACACCCTCTTTATTATTTAACATGCTGCAGAACAGAGCTGCAAATGTGCTTCGGGTTCACATGAACGGAATTTTTCATCAGTTTCTGTATTTAAGAGCACATAAAAATTCTTTTTTGTTCCTTCATTAAGTCGGAAAATATGATTGTGTGGTGTTCATTGACATTCAGAAAAAAAGGTTTTTTTCACTTTTTTATGATGTTTGGTGTAAAGTACTATTTCAATAAGACAAATCATGAAGCCATGCTAAAAAATCTAGGGATAAATAAAAAATTTAAAATTTGTCGTTTGGGCCCCTTTAAGACATATGTCAACAAAAGTACTAAAAAATCTGTAGAGTTTAAGGATTAACAAATAATTCTTTCTTTACACTAAATGGAGAATGGATTTGCATAATTTTTTATCTTAAAATTCTATCATACATGTGTTTTTGAAGAAACTAAAATTTGCTTGATCATATTTTCCTTTCACTCTTTTCAATTATTGGCTCTGAATTAGATCTTGGATACTGTTATCTCCATATATTTCATTCATGTTTTCCTGGCATTTTCATCCACCGAGCATACGAACTTCAAACGACGACGTGTATTCCTGTACTTTTAAGGATAGTTCCTGTATGATCCTCTTTGTTTCTGACGTACCAGTGCGCTTTAGTATCCCTGATACGTAACAGCTAGTAATTATTGCAACTCTTCCGGTGCTTCCTTTAACTAGACCTTCATCTCCTAGACCTCGACCCCTCCTCCTATTCCTCCTCGACCACCTCCCATTCCTCATCGATTGCTTTCCTTTTCCTTCTCGACCGCCTCCTATTCGTCCTCGACTGCTTCCTATTCCTTCTCGATCGCCTCCTATTCCTTCGCGACCACCTCCTATTCCTCCTCGACTGCCTCCTATTCCTTTTCGGCCGCCTCCTATTCCTCATCGATTGCTTTCCTTTTCCTCATCGACCTCCTGCTAGTGTTACGCAAGATACGCTAGTGATACTTCCATCCGTTTCCCTAATCTGAAACTATTATAGGACTTAAGATTATTTGTTTTGGAAAATACTGGGAAATCAAAAATGTTCGTTGGGTTTCATTTTCGTTGTTTTGAGGTATGAAGAAACCCACGAATTCATGTCCACCACAAAATGTAAAACGTTACATACATAAATACACAACAATTCTTCATCCGCGATTTCAAATTCCCACGAACCAAGAGTTTTAACCCAAACCATAAAAAATTAAACCCCCCCCCGAAAACATTTGATTTTGCAGAAGTCGTTCTCGATTAAAAGCAAGTGGAATAGCTTCATATGGGCTACATCGACTCGTATTTTTTTATTTTAAGTTCAGAAACAAATTATCATATCAATATTATCAGACATATTTTAATAAGTTTTGGTCTCAGATTTAAGACAAAGGTGTTTGACAATGAAATGGTGACCGCTTGCTCTCTTTATATGTGTTATGTAATACAAGTGTTACTTGAATTTATTCTGTATGTTAAAACTGGCCTATATGGCATATCTAATGTGTACTACCTTTATTTCAACAAACAAATAGAACCTTTGCACAGTTTGAGAACTTCTGTTATCTTAGAATATAAAAGGCAAATATAACAAACAGTGTTCAATATAAATAAAAACCCATAACAAGACAAATATGTTCG